CTCGCTGTCCCCCGCCTCTCACACCCTCTGTGTCCCCAGCTCCAGGGGGACGCCGCGGGAAGGGCCCACCGGGGGCACCGGCGGCTCAGCGGGGCCCGGCGGCTCCCTGGGCAGCCGTGGGAGGCGCCGGAAGCTCTACTCCGCGGTGCCCGGACGCTCCTTCATGGCGGTGAAGTCCTACCAGGCCCAGGCCGAGGGGGAGATCTCCCTGAGCAAGGGGGAGAAGATCAAAGGTGAGGGGGCAGGCCGTGGGCAGGAGGGCCCGCGACCGGGGAGGGCCGGGCAGCACACACAGTCTCGGTGTGTCCCAGGCACACTGGAGGCCTCAGAGAGCCCTGAGCTGCCCCCTCCTGCCTGGAGGAGCCCAAGGTGTCACTAGGAGGAGGCAGCATCTGGGACCCTGACGCCAGGCCCGGCCCAACCGGAGCGCTTGCTGGGTGGTCTCAGATGAGCCCAGCCCTGGGTCGGCGGCTCGGGGCCTCAGGCAGGGCCAGCGACCTACCCTGGGTGCCCAGTCCACCCCAGCCGTCTTTCTCACCGGTGTGAGCGTGAGGCCAAGCCACCTCGGCTTCACAGACGGGGCGGTGCCTACTTTATGGGGTTCTGACGAGATGGCAGGTGTACAAAGCCAAGGGTCCCCTAAACGGGGCTGCCGTCATAGGGGTTCGCCTCTCTTCGATTTTCCTGTCTTCGTCCGGAAAACATGCACAGCGCCAGCAGCCCCCACGTGCAAGCCCCATGGGGCTGGCGACGCGCGTTCCTGGACAGCACAGTGGTTTGGAGACAGGCAGTACGCCCCAGACGCAGTAGTCAGCCCGGGGCGGGCCAGCGATTCCTTCCCGGACTGGAGGTGCACAGAGGCTGAGCGAGTGTGGTGCTGGAGAACCAGGCCGCTTAGGTTCAGATCCTGGCTTCACCCCGCTCCTAGCGGGGTGGCCTCAGGCAAGTGACATCTCTGGGCCTCAGTGTCCTCATCTATGAGGGAACGTGCCCCTGTGAGGATTTAAAGGAATCAGCTCAGGCGAAGTGCTGAGAACAGGGCTTCGCACACAGTAAGCGCGGCATCGTTATCGTAAATGGCCCCCCGCTACGGGCAGCTGGAGGAGGGACACCCTGGCTGCCCAGGGGAGCTGGGAGTGGCCTCCCCTGGGAGACAGGGTGTGAATGGAGCAGGAGTCAGAGAATCAGCTGGATTGTGTGATCGCATCTACTTCGTAGTCTGTCTTCCCAGAGCCTGAGTTTTCGAAGGCGAGGTTACGTTACACGGCGCCGGTCTCTGGGGCGCCGGGGCCCCGTTTAATGACGCAGCACGCGGGAGGCCTCGGCACACATCTGCTGAGTGGACGGATGAATGAACGAACGAACGAACGAATGAATCAACTGAATGAATGATCAAATGCAGGCGCCAGTGGTGGGGGCCAGGGCAGCGCCTCTAGGGGCAGCATGCGGGGGGTATGGAGGAGGGAGAGGGAGGACGGGAGAGAGAGAGAGAGAATGTGGGGGGGATTGGTCTGTGCTTCAGAGGGCGAGCAAAGAGGGAAGCAGGCCAGGGATGCGGGACCTTCTGGGCAGGCAGAGGGCCGTGGGCAGTATCTTCCAAATTCTTTCTGAACTTCAAGCCCAACACTTCCATGCAGGGAGAGGACACACTGCCCTGTTTTTACATCCTTCCCTTTCATTAAAAGGCACTTAATTGCCTCAAAGCACGCCTACATCCACGATGTCACCAAGTTTCACCACATCCCAATAAGGCAGTGGCTCCCTCTGCTCTCAGAATCCGGGCCCAGAGCCTCCGCCGGGCCTGGAAGGCCCTCCACTGCCCCACCCCACCTCCCACTGCCAGCCCAAGCTCATCTGAAGCCACCGTTTCCTTCACGCACAGGGTTCCAGGGACCCCGTCCTTCCCCCCCAGTGCTCCAACGCCCCGAGCCCCTTTCCACACTGAGCTCTTTGCCTATGCGATTCCTTCTGCCTGGACCACCTGTCCTCTCTCTCTCTGCCTCCTCGACTCCCAGGATCCCTCAGGTCTCAGCCTGAATGTTACACCCCCTCTGCCATCCAATTCATATGCTCCCACCTGACCTCTCTCCGGACACCCCGTCTCTCCCCTCAAACGCCGACCTCAGTTTCCGGTCACAATGTCGCTTGTAGAGTTCCGCCTGTCACGGGCTCCAGCGTGGAAGCTGATGAGGGCAGGAACCACGCTGGTTGTGCTCAAGTTGTCTGCTCTGTGTCTGGCCTGATGCCTGACTCACGACCGCCACTAAATAAACACTTGTCCCGTGAACGAAGGACCGCGTGGTTCCGAGACCCCCCAGCCAGGCATGGCACAGCCAGCCGAGCGCCCAGACCCCTGGTCACCCCCATCTCCTGCTCTTGCATGACCTTGAGCATTTCCTCGATTCTATTTCCCAGATTTTCTCGAGGCAGGTGCTTTGCGCAGAGACAAGCATCAGGTGGCTCCGACCCAAACCCTAGCGTGCCTCGCGCCGTCTGCGGGCAAGGGGCCTCTGTGCCATAGCTTTAAGCTTCTTCACGGGTCAGCTGGGAACTCGGTTCCCTGTCAGGGTGGGTGTGAGCCATGAAAATATTGGAGAGACGGAGGACCGCTGAACCAGACGTGTGGACGGAGCGGGAGCAAACGTTAGGGGCTGAAAAGCCTTCGCTCTGGGAACAGGCAGAGCTGTGTTCACACCCAGGCTGGGCCAATTCTAAGCCGTAGAGCCTTGGGCAAATGACCTCATCTCTCCAAACCTCAGTTTCCCCCTCCGTCAAGTGGGCACAACGGAAGCACGCCCGGCGGAGGGTTCTGGCCCAAGGGGAGCGTTGGCTGTCCTTGCCGTCCCAGTCGGTGCCCAGCACGGCAGCGCCGGGCACCCCGCGGGCTCTTAGTAGGGTGCGGCCAGCAAGGCTGGGCTTCCGGCCACTGGTGGCGGAGAGAAGGGAAGAGGCGATTGTCCTCTCTTCTCCCTTCCAGAGCCAGGGGAAGGGACGAGAGGGACGGGAGGGAGGGGTCTGGGAGCAAACGACAGACAGACAGACGATTAAGGGTCAAGGAGACTTCTGGAGATAGCGGGGCTGGGGAGGGGCTGCCTGGGTGGGGGGTTCAGGGAAACGACAGAACAACTGAGCCGTAACCAGTGACCAGGAGAGACGAGAGCCAGGTGTGGACACGTCCCTAGCCTGTGAGGACTGCGTCACAGGACTTGGCCCTTTTGCCCCCAGGGCCCCTCGACGATCCCACTGGATCCGGAAAGCTGGCCTGCAAAAGGGGACATGGTTTGCTTGTCCCCCGCGCCCCTTCGCCGCTTCCTGGGACGCTCGGTAGTCAGGACAGCCTTGGGAATCGGGGACAGGCGGTGCATCCGGTGTGCTGAGACGTTTGTGTCCCTGCTCCCTTGCCTAGTGCTTAGCATCGGGGAAGGCGGCTTCTGGGAAGGCCAGGTCAAAGGTCGCGTCGGCTGGTTCCCCTCGGACTGCCTGGAAGAGGTGGCGAACCGTTCGCAGGAGGGAAAGCAAGGTGATGGGGGGCCCCTGGCTGTCCCAGATGCACCCTAGGGTACCCTTGTCCCCTCCTCTCCCCCTCCCGATGGGGGCGGGCTCGTGGTTTCCAGAGTGAGGAGGGTCCAAGGTCACCCCTTGTCCCCCTGCAGAAAGCCGCAGTGACAAGGCAAAGAGGCTCTTCCGGCACTACACCGTGGGCTCCTACGACAGCTTCGATGCCCCAAGGTAACTGTCCTGACACTCTGGAGCGCCCTCCACCTCCTTTCGCACCCCACCACCTCTCAGCTCCCTGTCCAGCGTCTACCTCCTCTGTAAAGTTTGGTCCAGGGGCGGGGAAAGCAGAGTTCGCTTCAGACCACACAGCCCAGTCCCAAACCTGCCTTGGCAGCCACTAGACCAGCCAGCTCTGGGGCAGTCAAAAACCAGTGGTGGCGGGTGGGGGGCGAGGCAGTCATTTGGGACCCCGGGGAGCTCACATGTGGCTGGCTGCCCCCCGCCCCCACTTCCTGTGCCCCGTCTCTGTGCAGTCACGTGCAGTGGAAGCAAATGCATCCCATGCCTTGCACGGGGCGTGGACAGAGCCGGCCGGGCGGGGTGGGGTGGGGATGGGGAGATGGGCCCACTGACGCCTTTCCCCTCCCTGGCTGCTGGCTGACTTGCTTCTGAAGCTTGATGGATGGGATTGGCCCAGGGAGGTGAGAAGGGAGGGGACGGGTCGGGAATGGGAAGGGAGGGGTGCCTGGAGGTGTGTGGATGGGTGCTTGTGCACGAGCAGGACTGAAGCTTTCCACGAGTGGACGTCTTACACGGGCGCGCACCCTCGGAGGATCGCCCCGAGTGTGTTCGTGTCTTCTGTGAGGCTCTGTAGGTGCACATGACCTGTGTCCGTGTGCATGTGTGGCCGGAGGCCCCTGCCCCTGGATGCCCCGGGCATACGCCTGTGACGGAGACGGGGTCAGTCCTGCTCTGTAGACATGGGTGCGTCTGTGGCTGTCATTTACGGCTGCACGATGGTGGCTCTGCACATCTGTGTTTTCCTGGATCCGTATGTCTGAGAATGAGGACAAGTGTTTCTAGAGATGGCAATGTGCCTCTTACTGCGTGTGGACGGGGGCGGGGGGGGCCTCTGCACACGTCTGTCTCTCTTCATGCATGTTGGCCGTGCGTGCACATTATTAGCACATAGGAACGTGTGCATGAATTTGCATCTGTCTGATTGATCTGGAATTCAGGATCCTGGGGTATTGGGGGAGGGGAAGCACCAGAGGGGAGCACTCCAGGGCTTGGGCTCCCAGACGGGCAAGGCCGAGGTGGAGGGATGGTCGTAATCGGGCGTCCAAGATGACACCCGCCCCCCCTGCTCCCTCCATCAGAGAAGGGTCCCCTCGTCCGTAGCATCCTTCCATTAAATGTGTCCAAACCTATGTGTCTGTGTCCTGGCCAGTGGGGACGGTTTGAGGGTGGGGAGGAAGAGAAATGCCAGTGTGGGGAGAGAGGGCGGGGCTGGGCCGCCACCCTGCGCCCCGAATGTCCGAGGCGCTTGACCGGTGTGCGTGTTCGCCTGGCACGTCTCCGGCTCTGGGCCCCGGGTGAGTATCGAGGTCCCCCCCCCACCGCACTGAGTCTCTCCGTCAGCCTCTGTTTCTTGTCTGTCGGTGTCTCTCTGGGCCTCCCCTGGGCCCTGGTCTGGGGGTCACTTGCTCTGCCAGCTGGATGAGGTGGTCCCGCTCACCCTCGGCTTCTTCCTTCCCCCCCTGGCTGTTCTGTTGAGTGCATTCCCTCCCCTCCCTGTGCGTGGCGGGCATGTGCCGCTGTGTGTGCGGTGTGTTGGAGCCTGTGCTCCTGCCTGCCCCCTGCTCACTCTGTCCCCTTCCGTGGTGGCCTGTCCCATCCCGTGCTGTGCATCTGTGCTGGAGCTGAGCGGTCCTGCCCCGTGTAGCCCCTCCTGACCTGTGCAGCTCGCCCCATCCTCTCCCGGGAGTCTCGTGTGAGCTGTGGTGTGTGGACGCCACTCCGCCTGGGCTTCTTTGGGGGGAGGGGTGTCTCTCACTGCTTTGGGGCCCAGTCCCAACGTCCTGGCCTTCCCTTTTCGGCCCTTCCAGACTGCGTGTTGGGGTGCGTCGTATGTTGGTCTGCAGTGGTGGGCTGTGTGTCCCCTCCTGGGGCCTCTCTCACCGTGGGGCCCCTGCCCGGGAAGTGGGGCTGGGTCCGCGCGTCCCTGCACGCGGTGGCGAGGCGTCTTGTGTAGCGGTGCGCGTCCCTCTCCCCGCTCTGGCTCGCTCTGCACCTGCGCGGGAGGGTTCTGAAGGGGGGAGGGGGGTTAAGAGGGGGGCCCAGACCGGAAGTGCCTCCCCCTTCTCCTCC